CCAACAAATATTGGATCATCAAAACGACACCGTTTGTTATTTTCTTGATCATACGTCGTCGTTTTAAAAAGAAAGAAAATCACTAACTAGCTACGAGTCTACGATCGTAAGTTTGTATCTCTTTTCCAACATTGGTGTTAGCCAATGAGGGTGGGGGATGATACATAATGATCTACATAAATATAAACAATACATTAGCAGATTTCTTAATTCTTAGCTAGGCAGATTTGCAATTTCATTGCCTTACATAACTACTCTTTATTTTCTCTAATAAATATCAAACTGAATATTTCCTCTTCCAAATTTGTATCATGAACATTGGTGTCCCTCCGCAACGGTGAAAATAGGTCTCTCTCACAACTTGCTTGTCTTTGAGTTTGGTGTGAAGGTGGAGAGACACACAATTATGCTTCTCCTCAAAGGGAATCTGGATAATTTTCCCACCAATCGAAAAATCTAGTGACTAGAGCAGTTCAAATAACTCGAGCGATGTCATATCTCAGTCAAACAAGGCAGACATGGTAGCAACCTAGCGGGTAGAACTCATGTGAAACAAGACCTCTTTTTCGGAGGGAGCATGATCAGCTGATAAGAGAGGTGGGATTACAGAGGCAATGTCCGAGTAGAAGCTGGCTGTCATCTCTTTTGCCGCCATCACATGGCGTTTTGGAGTTGTCCCTGAATTTGAAGATTTGATAAGAAAGAATAAAAGGAAACTAGAATTTTATAAAACACTTAGACAAGTTTTAGGTTGTAGATTTGATAAGAAAGAAAAGAAAACTAGTAGAGAGCTACATTCGTGACCACATGTGAAAAGAGATGCCTATGGCTGGCTCAACGCCCGTATTATCGCGAGAGTATGCTCATCCAACGGTAAGACCCGAACCACTGACCATACCCATGAACAGAAACGTAGCTCTTCTTGGTTTGTGCAATTGTTGTACGTAAAGTCATTACGGTGAGTTTCCAAAGTCTCTAAACAAAATGTGTGTTTGTTTTAGCAATGTTTCCTCAAATTTATTTGTTTTCTAATTTTTTTTTTCAACAATCACCATATATTAAACCAAGTGCATTTGTCTTCTAATTATACGCTAAAAAACGAGCATTATATAGTCGTTTAATTTTTTTTTTTGTATTATCTAACCTTTCCG